TCATTAAGTATGAGCGCTGGGCCCAGAACTGGGTTGAGTGCTGGGAAGGCAAAGAAAGGCATACACAGTCCTTGCCCCAGCTATGTACAGAGTAGATGGCAGCTAAGTGGTCCCAGAGAGGAAAGGAGGGGGGCCCAGGAAAGATCTCTTGAAGGTGAGATGTGAGCCAAGCCTTCAAGGAAACAAGGAAAACGAAGCAGAGACAGCAAGGGGTCTAGAGCAGTTCCAGCCTGGGGGCACAGACAGGAAAAGGAGGGCTGTATTTGGGGAACACAAAGTAGGGCCATCAAGCTGGCTTCTAGGGTTCATGGGAAGGCAGGAAGGGGCCAGGTTAGGAAGACTCTCCATTCAATCTGGGAGATAACCAGGGCCACTGGTCCTCAACGAGCAGGAGGGCAGCATGGTCAGACCTTGATAGAAACAGAGAAGTTCTGGTTTGGCCCTACTGTGTGACATGCCATGAGCCATCCAGTCTGAGATGAAGGTGTCATCTGCACAGAGGGAATGCAATCCTGATGACAGGAAGGTGCTTCAAGAACAGCCAACAGTCCAGTTTGCTGGAACCTAGAATACCTAAGGGAAGCAGCTTGTATCAGGCACTGAATGCCGGGATCTGGAGCTTGTACAATATTCTGCCAGCAATCAGAAGCACCCAAACACTGAGTAAAGGAAGGACAATCAGGCCCAAGCTTTGGAAAACTGCCCCAGCTGTAGTATGAAGAGTAGATCAGAGCAACAGACCAGAGGCGACTAGAAGGTGATGGATATCAAGTCTAAGCGAGGAGAGAGAAGAGGACCAGAGGTGGGTGCAGGGACACAGGAGAGGCCAGAAGTGCTTACTGGTGAAAAAGGACAAGCCAGTTCTGGGAGGGAAAAGAAGGCAGATGATGCTCTTCTAACTCTTGCCTTTCTCAAGCTATGATTCCATGAAATAAAAAGTAAAATGGGTATTGTCAGCAAGAAGAGGGGTAAGATACACTATGGACTCCATACCTAAAAGCTAATGACCATACTAATCATCTCCTCAAAAATCACTTGCCCTGCTTCTTCATGTAGGGCAGTATCACGAACATTCAACACAGCACTTCACATCAGGGCATGCACATTCTCAAGTTAAAATGGTGGCAGTAATAGAGCAGCTACTTAATATTAAGCTGGGGCCAAAAAGTCTAATTCATTAAAGAACAGCAGCATTGCTTCTTGGTTAATAAAGTGATATCACCGGGGAATCCTAAAACAAATGGCTTAACTGGACAGCGACTACAATGATGGCACTGTGCAAACACCAGGACACTCAACTAGTACCGTGATCACAATGTAGAGTCTGTTGACAAGTATATTATAAATATCTTGAGCTCACTGTACTATAATTCATGTACTAGCTTATACAAACCAAATTGCAAACCTGGGCACAAGTAGCCTCTCCCCTCAAACAAAATAAAACAAAAAAAAAATTCCATACCCACACGTACAACATTTCTGGGACAAAGCAGTCGCCTGAAATTTATCTGAATGTTTGCCCTGGGAAATCAAGTTCTCGTCCTTGCCTACATCTGGAGACTTGGCCTCATGAGGAAAAAGCAGTTGCAGGTGGTATCCTTTTACTTATTTAGTCATTTTTCACTTGTGTCTTACTTTTTGTGACCCTATTTGGGGTTTTCTTGGCAGAGATACTGGAGTGGTTTGCCATTTTCTTCTCCAGACTATATTACAAATGAGGAAACTGAGACAAACAGGGTTAAGTGACTTGCCCAGGGTCACACAGCTAGTAACTGTCTGAGGCTGGATTTGAACTCAGGTCTTCCTGCCACCATGCCCACCACTCTGTGCACTGCATCACCCAGCTGCAGGTGGTATATGAGGCACCATATTTAGCAGAAAGGACTAGGGACCAAGAATCAGAAGAACAAGGCTCCAATCCTGGTGTGACCTGTCACTTTCTAGCTAGCTTAGAATCATCACATACTCCAAACTCTTCTTTCCCTTTCCCTGACTTGTTTTCAACCCTTCAGCTATCTCTATCTAAACTGACAGTAATAACAGCTAGACTTTATAGTCCTTTAAAGTTTGCCAGTCACTTTACAAATATGGCCTTCTTTGATCCTCACCACCCTGGGAGGGAGGTGCTGCTATTATTCCCCCCTGAGGAAACTGAAGCAGACAGAAGTTAAGTGACTTGTCCAGTGTCACATTTACTAAGTGTCTAAGGCTGGATTTGAACTCAGGATTTCCCAACCATGACTACATCATAGTCTGCTACATCACATATCTGCCCTACTAGTAATCTGAATTGACACAGATAGAGAACCACAGACTTAAAGCTGGTGAGATCCACACAGCTAAAGCCCCAGCAAGTTAAGTGATATACCCAAGGTCACATAAGTGTTCAGGGGCAGGGGCTCTCTCTTTACACAGGGATAGGACTGGAGTGGGTGTAAAATATATTATATACACTATTCTGATAGGATCAGACTGAGGAGAACTGTTGGCAAATTTTTGCTAGACTGTTTTCTTCTTTTTAAAATCCTTGTTTTAAGAGATTGCTCACTGGGTAGAGAAGGAATAGTTGGTAATTAAGTTGATAGACAAGATACCAATTTTTTTAAATGTCAGCAGTAACTGGGAGACCCAGGATTAAAAGGCAGAGCCTTTGTCCTGCACCACGCTAAGTTTAAATAATTACACTTAAACAGGAAATACTCCTCTTCTGATCCACGTTAGGAGCCCTGTCTTCTCTGTGTGAGCTCTGCAGGGCTACAGATCTATTAAGTCAGGTATCACGCCTCTTATTTCCTATGCTTTATAAATGGTATACGACTGAGGCTTTTGTAGGATGTCTTAGAATATGCAAGGAAGAGATAATGATACAATGTTATAAAAACATCAAGGACAAAGCTAAACCAAGCACAAAAATCCCATGAGAAAAATGAAAGTGAAACAAAGTATATCACCCCAGTGTTGAGAGCAACTATGTTTCTTACTTAAAAACAAAGAGCAGAATGCCTGACAAATTCCAGCCTGGCCCCTTTTCGTCCCAATTTTTCTTGGAGAATGAAAAATATGTAGACAACTATTTCAAAACCAAAATACAGCCCACAAAGGTAATGACTATCAACAATTGCTGCTTATGTTCAATTCTTAAAGATGATGAAGAAATCCCAGTAAGAAATAGTTCAGTTCACCACTTCTGAAGCAGTGGGGGGGGAGGGAGTGCCCACTAATTTTTAGAAAGAGGACAAGAAAAGCAATGAGGCAAGAAAGAAGTAAAAGTTGGTTTTAAATCCAGAGGATTCTCCATCCCCCAGTTCAAGCCCCCTTCACCTTGGGGGGTGTCTCCCCCCCCATTGCCATCAGGTAACTTGAGCTTCCTCTTTTCTCTCTGCAGCTGAAGCAGCTCTAATGGCTCTCTAATGCACGAGGATAAAATTCCGACTTCTGTTAACAAGCTGGCTCCAGTCTACCTGCCCAGAGTTATTACAAAGTAACAAGTTTTCATCACTGTCCCTCCTGCACAGCATTCACAGGCCCATGCCCAGAATGCTTTCTCTCCTGACCTCCATCATCTCAAAATCCAGCCCTGGACTCTTTCAAATCTCAGCTCCCACGAGGTCTTTCCTGATATCTCCACCCCGGCGTTGCTAGCCATTCCCTAGGAATACATACAGACATACACATCTGGGCAACATACTGTTTCTTATGATAAAACAGAATCTTCTTGAGAAATCATTCCATTTTTGTCTTTATATTCCCAACCCCTTCATTCTTCGGTTCTTCCCAATTCCAAGTGAGAGAACAACTATGGGCAAATGCCTGACTCCCTGAGCATCAGCAAATGCTTCTATCTGGATTGACAGCCTCCCAGGTGGTTTGAGCTCAAAACTGAGGCGTAGGTTAAATGCAAACTTTAGAGCTTCACATAAAGGTCAGTTATCCTTAGTAAGTTCTATGGAGTTTTGAGGTCCAAATGCTACAAATTTAGCTAATAAGTTAAAAAGATACTAGGAAAACCTTGGCAGATTAATAGAATCTGGATCGTGTGATATCATAACATTTGCAATGAAGTAAATAAAAAGCCTTCAGCTATAGGAGGAAAATAAGGGCCAGAGAAAAGTCACAAGCTTATAAGAAGGGCTTTCCATTCTCAGGACACCCGGACTCGATGATTAACGGCCACAGGAAGGTCCCCGATGAGGGGAGTGGGCTAAACGACGTGAAAACAACCCAACTCTCCTTGATCCTACCACTTCTTGAACACGCCCAACCGGATCTTCAGCTCTTAGGTCACCAACAGTCTTGTGTGGGTGCCCTCTCAACCCACCCTCGGCCTAGGAATGAATGCTCAGTATCTAAAACATACCAGGGGCTGGGGGAGCAAACTGGTGAAGGGGGTGGGGTGGAAACGTACTAGCCCAAGTCTCCCGAGCCAGGCCTGGGGAACTGTCCATTTGAAGGCGACCGACCACATCCCCAGGGGCGAGGACTTTTTCTCATGTATAAAATGTTGGGGCAGGGCTTGCTATGACTGACGGGCTGTCAAGGGTCCCTGGCCTCGGAAGCCGGCTCTCGGATGACCGCAATGGTCACTCCAGCCCCCCGGGGCTGTTTCCTCTTCTCTAAAATGTGGGGAGTTGAACTAGAGGACCCCCAGGCCCGCTCCAGTTCTGATCTACGCCCCTTCCCCCCCCCAAGGCTCTTCCGATTCTGAAATCCCGAAGCCCGAAACTTCCTTTTAGGACCCGCAAGGGCGGGGTGAAGCGGTTGGGGAGTGGGTCACTTCCTTAAACGTCCACGCGTGACCCCTCCCTCTTCGCGGGGCGGGGTGGAAATCAGGGGGGGGGGCTTCTCCAGGAAGCGCAACCGACCAACGAGGTGGGGGAGGGGAAGCGGAGGGAACGCTGGGGCTGCCGGCTGAGAGCGAAGGAAGGGACTGCACGCCGGAGGTGCGCCCGGGGCGCGGAGGATGGAGATGGGGATCCCACCCGCCTCCCCCGCCGCCTCACCAGCTCGGCCAGCTTGACGGGGGCCCGGAGCCGGCTGGGCCGGGCCAGGGAGAAGCTGCAGGAGCTGCGCCCGGGGACGATCGCGGAGGCCGGGACATCCTCCGTGGTGGGGTTGTACACATCTCCGTTGTCCATGGCCGACGGCGGGACGGGAGGGAGGGAACGGGGCCGAGGCGGGACGAAGAGGGGGCCTCCAGCCGGAGCCTCTCAGCCAACGAGAGCACGGACAGCAGCCGCTCTGCACCCCGACCCGGCTCGCGCAGCCGTAGACTGAAGGATCGTTGCACGTCACGTCCGGCGCTGGAGAGCGGGCCCCGCCCCCAGAGCAGGAAGCCCCACCCACATTTGGCCCCCTCTGTCCAGGGGCGTGCCTCTCCCCTACAATCTGGAAGCCCGGCCCAGAATGAGGCCCCGCCTCCGGAGCGTCCTCCGCCCCTCCTCTCAAGATCGAGACCCGCTTCATGACTCCAGGCCCCGCCCCCTGTCCCTGACCCTAGCCTTCCTCAGAAAAGCCACGCCCTCTCCGAGAACGTCTTAACCCGCGCTTTTCTGTCCGGAGGTCCCGCCGCTTTGGCTCCACCCATTTCAAAAGTTCTACCCCTTCTCCCTTCTCCCTATCCCCTGTTCTGCCCAGTCCGAGGCTCCGCCCCGGCTACTCTCCCCTCCCGCTGAGGCCTCCATATCTCCTCGCGTCTCATCTCCGTAGCATACCTACCTGGAGTCCCCGCCCCTTCCTTACCTGCCCCGCCCAGGGTCCCACAGGCCCCGCCCCTAGTCCGTAGGTCCCGCCCTCCATTCATGCCGGGGCTTGGCCTACAGGCCCCGCCCCCTTAACAACTTGCGACCCGCCCCCAAGCCTTAGGGTTGTTGGAGCAGTTTGAGGTGAATCCTGATGGATCCCACCACCTTTGCCCACCTTCCCCCTCCCCCTAACACATCCCATCCATCTTCTAAGGATACCCTCCCCCAGCCATGAAGAGGGCAGGAAGGGCCCTTGGAGAACCTCTAGAAACCGTCCCATCTTACAGAAGGACAAACTGAGAATCTGAGGGGGACACACTTTCTTGGTGCTCTGGTCCCTCCCCTTTCTCCTCCCTTATCTCTGTCTGATCCAGTTCAATCCCACAGACACTTAGGAAGTAGCTACGAGCAGGGAAGAACCACGTGTAGACCCTGGGGATACAAAACCCGATAAGACGCAGACCCGGGACCCGGGGGTTGAGCAGGGCCGAGCCTAAGCTCTGAATACGTTCTAGGACTCTAATTCCTCCATTTACTGGAGGAGGGGGGGTGAAGGAGGAGGCGGCATTTCTTCTTGGCAAAGGCATACCCTCTGCGTGGACTGACCCAGAAGCTCACCTCCGCCTTGACTCACTCTCTCACCTTCAGTCCTTCCTCGCCCACTGGAATTTACCCAGCCGCCCACAAACCCCTCTGTGTCTATCCAAGCCCATGGTTGCCCGTTCAGCTCTGCCATTCCCTCCGTCCGTTGTCCCATGGCCTTTTCCCCTACGCTGACAAACATCTAGAAAGAATAGTCTACATTCTGCACTCACTTGCTTATTTCTCAGTCCCTTCCAACCTGGCTGCAGAAGTCTCTCACTCGCACCCTGTCCCCAAGGATACCAACCTCCTCTTATCTATGCAAACGCCGCGGACTTTTCTCAGTCTTCATCCTCCTCAACATCTGTTGGCTTCCACCATGACTGCTCCCTCCTCGCTCCCTTTCTACCTGTCCAACTAATTCTTCTCAGTCTCACCCTGTGTTTTCTGCCTCTCAGGGTTCTTAAGAATGCCAAGTTCAGAATTCTTTGGACAGACTGCTTGAATATAGATAAGTGAATGAATGAATACATGAATGAATGACATCTGGCCTTGTAACAAGGAGCCTGGCTCAGTGTAGCAGGTGTAACATGCTCATGCACAGACTACACCTGCATGCGTGGCTTATGCAAATGCCCCTTCTGGAAGGGAGAATAAAATGGAGGTGCTTTGGAGAGACTGGGGAGCAATGGATATGTTCTGTACCTGGGACCACATATGGAACAGTAGCCTCTTTGGCTACAGTTGTAGAATGGAAAAGGCCTTAGCAGGCTTCACCAGTTCATTCTCTTCAGCTGCTCTCCCTGGATCTCCCTCCGCTCTTGGTTTGATTTTACAAATGGTGTCCAGTGAGACAATGCTAAAATGGAAAGGCTTTCTCTCCTCTGAGGGATCTGGGTAAATAAATCTGTCATCAGCATTTCTGTTGTTCAGTCATTTTTCAGGCGTATCGAATTCTTCATGACCCCATTTGAGGTTTTCTTGGCAAAGAAACTGGACTGGTTTACCATTTCCTTCTCTAGTTCATTTTACAGATGAGGAAACTGAGGCAAACAGGGTTAAGTGACTTGCTCAGAGTCACACAGCTAGTGACAAACACAGTTGATTAAGAACGGACTGAATGCCATACCAATCAAACTACTAAAAAATTATTTTATAGAGTTAGAAAAAATAATAAGATTCATTTGGAAAAACAAAAGGTCCAGAATATCAAAGGAACTAATGAAAAGAAATGCAGGGGAAGGTAGCCTAGCCATTCCAGATCTTAAATTGTATTATAAAGCAGCAATCATCAAAACTGCTTGGTAGTGGCTAAGAAATAGGGAGGTGTGGGATCAGTGGAATAGGTTAAATATGCAAGACACAGTAGTCAATGACTGTAGTAATCTATTATTTGATAAACCCAAAGACCCTAGCTTCTGGGATAAGAACTCACTCTTTGACAAAAACTGCTGGGAAAACTGGAAAAGAGCATGGCAGACACCAGGCATAGACCCAAATCTCACACCATATACCAAAATAAAGTCAAAATGGGTTCAGGACTTAGATATAAAGGCTGATACTATAAGTAAACTGGGAGAACAAGGAATAGTTTACCTATCAGATCTATGGAGAACAGAAGAATTCACGACCAAACAGGAGACAGATCATTACGAAAAGCAAAATGGATAATTTTGATTACATTAAATTGAAAAGTTTTTGCACAAACAAAGCCAATACAACCACGATTAGAAGGAAGGTAGAAAATTGGGAAAGAATTTTTACAACCAGTCTCTCTGATAAAGGCCTCATTTCTAAAATACATAGAGAATTAAGACAAATTTATAAGAACACAAGCCATTCTCCAATTAAATAAATGGTCAAAGGATATGAACAGACAGTTCTCAGATGAAGAAATTAAAGCCATCAATCTCTATTGATTAGAGAAATGCAAATCAAAACAACTCTGAGGTACCACATCACGCCTATCAGATTGGCCAACATGACAAAACAGGAAAATGATATAATACATTGTTGGTGAAGTTGTGAAATGATCCAACCATTTTGGAGAACAATTTGGAACTATGCCCAAAGGGCTACAAAAATGTGCATACCCTTTGACCCAGCAATAGCACTTCTAGGGCTATATCCCAAAGAGATCACACAAATGGGAAAAGGACCCACATGTACAAAAATATTCATAGCAGCTCTTTTTGTGGTGGCCAAGAATCGGAAATTGAGAGGATGCCCATCAACTGGGGAATGGCTCAACAAGTTGTGGTATATGAATGTAATAGAATACTATTGTGCTATAAGAAATGATGAACAGGCTGAGTTCAGAAAAATCTGAAAAGACTTATATGGTCTGATGCTGAGTGAAGTGAGCAGAACCAAGAGGACTTTGTACACAGTAACAGCCACGTTACGGGGTGACTAATATTGTTAAACTGAACCCTTCTCAGCATTACAAGGATCTAAGACATCTCCAGAGTCCTCGGGATGGAAAATGCTGTCCACATCCAAAAAAAGAACTATGGAAGTCGAATCGCTAACACTTATTTTTACCTTCTGTTGAGTTTTGTTTCATTTTTCTAATGGTTCCTCCTATTGGTTTTAATTTTTACTTACAACTTCACTAATGTGAAAATATGTTTTATTATTAACCCATGGAAGTTGATGAGGTTACTGGGAGAGACAGAATAAAGAAGAGGGCCTGGGATTGAACCTTATTGATGTGGGTGAGCTCCATCAAAAAAAAAATGGTAGAAAGAGGTCAGACAGACAGAAAGAGAACTGGAAAAGAATAGTGTCATGAAAACCCTGAGAGGAAAGAGCATACAGGGAGTAGTCAATGACAAATGAAGTCAAGAATGTAAATGTAAAGCCTATATCAGATTGTGTGCCATCTTGGGGAGGGTGGGGGGGAGGAAGGGGGAGAAAAATTTTCAACTCAAAAGCATATGGAAGTGATTGTTGAGAAATCAGAATAAATTAATAAAATTTTAAAAAAAACGGACTGAAGCTGCCCAAGTGTCAGTTCCCAGGACAATGAATTGCTCAGCGCTGACCAGACTGATCACTTTCAGACTCTGATTCTTTGGTAGATCTCCCAAACTCTCCCCTCCAGAAGTTCCTGAGCTTTCTTAAGGGACTTTAACTTGTTATGTAAAAACAACTTACCTAGTGAAACCCCTCCCACCTGCTGCCTAGTGCCTCTCTGCTTTAGTGCCCTATATAAATCCTGTTCTCAGACTCCTCTTGGGGTATCCCAGTACTTGCTGCGTGGCACTTTGAGCTGAAATTCACTTGCCCTGATTAAAGAACTCCATTTTGTTGTATTGACTGTTTTCATTTAAAATTCACTTTGACAATAAGTATCTGAGGCTGGATTTGAACTCAGGCCTCCTGACTCCAGACCTAGCAACTCTATCCACTGGCCACCTACCTGCCCCATTATTTGCACAGAGATGATAATTAAACCCATGGAAGTTGATGAGGTTACTGGGAGAGATAGAATGAAGAAGAGGACCTGGGATTGAACCTCATTGATGTGGGTGAGCTCCATCAAAAAAAAAAATGGTAGAAAGAGGTCAGATGGACAGAAAGAGAACCGGAAAAGAATAGTGTCATGAAAACCCTGAGAGGAAAGAGCATACAGGGAGTAGTCAATGACAAATGAAGTCAAGAAGGATGAAGACTGAGAAAGACCATTGAATGTGTCAAGTAGAGATTCTTGGTAACTTTAGAGAGAGTAGTTTCAATCGAATGAAGAGGGAAGATTGTTGTTTTGTTTGTCCTGCATTCTTGAAGAAGACCAAGACATCAGGGAGGTGATGCCATGACATGCAAGGGAATTGGATTACAGTGAGGAAGGGACGGCTGTGCAAAGTCACCAGCCTCACTTTCTCCTCCAGAGCCAGCTGGGACCAATGGCCAGATATAGATCAGGATGATTGGAGGTGGCCCAGGAGGCGGTGGGAGACCTTGGCCTTT